GTAGCCCCAAAACCCTTTCCCTCACCCCATACCCGTCTTGTTGGGGAGTCACCCCCTACCGTCCTGTGGCGGTAGTCACACTATAACCGTCCTGTGGGCGGTAGTCGCCCCATACCCGTCCTGTGGGCGGTTAGTCACCCCATACCCGCCCTGTGGCAGTATTCACCCCGTACCCCTCCTGTGGGCGGTTGTCGCCCCATACTCGTCTTGTGGGGGGTTAGTCACGCCATACCCGTCCTGTGGGTGGAGTCATCCCATACCCGTCCTGTGGGCGGTAGTCACCCCAAATCCCGTCCTGTGGGCGTTAGTCCCCCCCATACCCACCCTGTGGCGGTAGCCACCCCCAAAACCCATCCTGGGGGCGGTAGTCCCCCCCATACCCATCCTGTGGCGGTAGTCACCCCATACCCATCCTGTGGGTGAAAGTCACCCCATACCCGTCCTGTGGGCGGTAGTCACCCCCATACCCATCCTGTGGGCGTAGTAAACACCCATACCCTTTCCTGTGAGCGGTAGTCACCCCATACCCTCCTGTGGCGGGGGTCACCCCATACCCGCCCTGTGGGTGGTAGTCACCCCATACCTGTCCTGTGGTGGTAGTCACCCCATACCCGTCCTGGGGGCGGTAGTCACCCCATGCCCGTCCTGTGGGCGGTAGTCACCCCATACCCGTCCTGTGGGCGGTTGTCACCCCATACCCGTCCTGTGGGGGGTTAGTCACCCCATACCCATCCGTGGGCGGTTGTCACCCCATACCTATCCTGTGGGGGGTTGTCACCCCAACCCATCCTGTGGGGGGTTGTCACCCCATACCCATCCTGTGGGCGGTAGTCACCCCATTCCATCCCGGAGCGGTAGTAAAAGGATTACAGAGGTACATAAGGGGTTCCAGGGACAGGACCCCAAAGTTTTTGAAAAACTGAACAAGGTACAAAGGTAATGACCTCCAGGTACAAGTGGTAGTCTTGTACTTTCTGCTCAGTATGAGAGGTAGTATCCCTGGCCTGCCTTGCCTACCTACCTCATTCTCTCTACTTCTAGGTCTATTGTCCTTTAGAGAATGATATTTTTTTTGTTGATAGATGATTTTTGTTTTATACAATAGAACACAGTAGGTTTGGTCAGATTCGACGGAAACAGGACAAGAGTTTCCTGATGTTTTGTCACCTCATCGAGACCTTTCGCCGGATGCCGGTCCACCCCTTTAAAAAATTTTGGTCATAGTTATAACCATATTGTTTAAGTTCGGCTCGATGGGAAAAGAGGCTGTCTGAAATATTGGTTTTTTTGGGACACCTAGGTCGCAAAAATGTCCCCCTTCGATACCCACCACTGTCATATCCACAGTTTCTCTAGACCTATTAATTACAAATGAAATATGTATCACCAGGAATTCTGGTAAATAATATGTTTGTGGACTGTATATTAAAATTAATAAATGATTATGTATATACACATTTACATAACAGAAGGAGAATATATCTTAATATCACTCACCTATTTGACTGGATAGATATAAGGTGTACATACTCAGAAAACCTCACTATTCTATGAAAATAACACTGGCCAGAATTACAACTAAGACTTATCTGAGGTTCCTGAGTTGTCTTGTCCAGTCGCCTGATATCTCAATTATGCAGAAATGCACATCCAACAATTTCGCCTCCTATTGAGAGATGTCAACCCAAATTTTACCTCTAGAGCACGAAAAATTCTTCCCATTTTTCACTGAACGTTTGTGTCCAATTCAAACAACAATGGCGAGTCTCCTCTGCCAGCGCAGCTTCCCATTTTTATAACATAATTTTTATTAAATCAATATATGTCATCAATTTACATATACTGTATTTCAGGAAAATATATAGTATTTCCACAGCAGGAATCAACAAAATTAATATCAATAACCTGATGAAAGTACCTAACCGAGATAGAATTCGCAGCAATATTTCACATTGGACAAATTTAGATTTAGAAAAAATATAAGGAAGCATTGGTTCGGCAATTGATTTACAGAGGAATAAAAAAAGCTTCTAGGTAGCTTTACTGGACGATAAAGGTGGGTTAGCTATAAAAATAGGTTGGACTGGTATATGAGTGGGTGAGATGTGTGTGACTTGAATCTGCCTAGCATGGCAGTGTTCCTTCATTATGTTTCATGTTTTATGTAGAGGAAGTAGCAAGGTTGAGAGAGGGCGAAATATTACAGCAACAATGACCCAGCGTTCTCCCTTATTTACTTAGACACAGAGTAAGATGGTAATCCGTCAAAGGAGATCGGCTACTGATACTGTGTTAATGACTGACTTCTTCACAAAATCGGGAACGTGACCCAGAGAAAAATACAAAAGGTAATATGAGACCTGCCTAGAAAAAAGGTGATCAAGATGGAATGAGAGGATACTCAGCCGAGACAAGATAGGAAGAAGATTCGGATACATAAGAGTTTCTCTGGTTAAGTGTTGCTGTAACGCTACAGTTCCAAATGATTTCAACACACATGAATGCACTCAACACACAACTTGAATATAAAAATTGTTAGAGCTGTGGAGGCCGAGATTAGACGGCATACTATTTTTCTATCTGACTGAATATTTTCAAACCCAGTAAGAAACCTGCTCTCCATAAGAGGAATCGAACTGTAAGCTATTAGACAGCTTGATTCGATAACCACACCAAGTACCATTGAAAATTAAATCATTAGATACTGTGTGTTGGGTCTTGTTATATATTGGTCTCGTCCTTAGAGTAACTAGTTTCAATGTTATATTTATGTTATTGAGGCAGAAGACCACTGAACAGTGACCTCACACAGATTTATTATTACAAAGGACCTAAACAGAAATAAATCAGTGTCTGACTTTTTTTTTGTTGTGGGGGTGGGGGGGGGAGTTATCTTAGGTAAATTACACAAATGTTGCTAGGTGTGACGATTATAATTATGTGTATCTGTACCTAAATAAACTTACAATCACAACATTATTTCTATATTCCATCATTATTTAATCAATGGAATGATCATTCGAGCAATGCCGTTCCCTTGAACGAATCTGTCTGGACTTCCTACTCATTTCTGCAGCATTGCAAGCTCCTGATGTGTTGATTGCAACACGAAAGGCCTAGATCTATCATTCAGGTCACCCCAGTGGTTGTTTTGTATTTGTGTCGCTTGTTCGCGATTATTGGCCACCGTGGCCTCGTGGCAAAAGCTCCCGCTTTTCACGGCGAGGTCCGGATTCAATTCCCGGCGAAGGGTAGAAACATCGGACGTGTTTTCCTTACACCGTTGTCCATGTCACCCATCAGTAAAATGGGTACCTGGGTGTTAGTGGACTGGTGTGGGTTGCATCCTGGGACAAAACTGACCTAATTTGCCCGAAATGCTCAGCATAACAAAGTGGTTTTCTTTATAATAACTAACTAATAACTAATTAAATTTAATGATACAGTTATTAAATTTAGAATCGGTGGAGTCTGTGTGATAATTAGAGACTGAATCAATGAGTTACCTTCAGATGTTAACATTGGTCTTGTTGTATATAGTAAGGTTTATTTTTGTTAAATTGGCTTCTTCACAGTGGCTGGAGAATACCTCTTCTGGTTGGCTTCAAACTGCCAAAGCTGCCGATTCTTAGGGAATGTTTGAACAGATTTTGGGCCGTGTAACTGCCACTATCATATTCATTACTGAAGACATTGCGATTTTTTCCTTACGATGACTCGAGAATGCCCCTTCCGACTGGTATCAAATCTTCACTGGTAATATATAACTGCATAAAAACTGCGAAACACTTGTACTACTCCTTTTGAATGTGCTGAAGTAAAAGGGGCTTGGGTTTATGAGATACAGGGATACCTTTCTGTGATCATATATATATATATATATATAATATATATATATATATATATAATATCTATATATATATAATATATATAATTATATATATATATATATATATAATATATTATAATATAGTAATAATTATATTTTGTGTGAGTGTGTCGTGCCGAATGAGCCAAATCAGAGAGTTAGGTTTATAAAGAAAAGATCCTTCTTGCCGAATAAGAAGTTAATTTTTTTTATGCCGTAAATCTCCTAAAATCAATGTGAACATAACGAATATATATTATATAAATTTAAACTAGCCTATGATATATTTAGTAGAATGTTATTAAAAAGAATTACATAAGGTCTTGTGATATAGTATACAAAGGTCAGTCTTAACTCAATAATAGAGCACTGGTCTCGTGTACTAAATATCAGACTCTTATACTCAGTAATAGAGCATTGGCTCGTATACTAAGGGTCAACCTTCTGAGTTCCATAACAAAACACTGGTCTCGCATACCAACGGAGAGCCTCCGTAATGGTAGCTAGAGCCCTGTTTCGTAAACTAAAAATCAGTCTTCTTAGCTGAGTGAGAGAACACTGGTCTCGTGGTCTCGTAGCCCGAAAGAGAGCCTCCTTAGCTCAGTGGTAGAGCACTGGTCTCGTAAACCAGGGTCGTGAGTTCAAACCCACAGGGGGCACAGGATAAATATGTTTATTTTTAAGATCAACTATTGGGCTATGGTAAATGTATGTGGCGGAAAATCACGTGCATGTTACTTGCTCTGTCATGCAAGAAGGACCACTTCCATAAGGTGATAAAAAGGGCAGACTAAAAAATTGTCAGTTTTCCCGCAAGACAGTGATAATTGTACGTGAACCATCGTCTGTAACCCCTAACAGCCTAATCCTTTACAATGTTAATATAATACAGTCTTTACAGCAGCAAGTACTTACTGTACATGAGTGTGTTTAGCTGAGAAAATTACAGGAAGGTAGAGTAACAGCAGCTGAGAGACTGGTTGTGCACGGAGTGTAACGAGACAGACTTAAACTAAACAGCTGAAGAAATTTTCTGTGTATTGAGAGAGAGTGGCAAGGCAGTCACTGCTAACATCTGTATTATTTTCACGGGGAAACGTTAACCCTCTATGGATCATAAGAGCATGTATTGGAGCGGGGAATATAAAACAAAAGATTTGAGTCAAGAAAGACGAAGACAACTTCAATTCCTTGATCATGAGCTTGTCACTAGCATCATGGTACCCTCTCAACCAATAAGTGGCAGCAAGAGCCTCCAGTAAGCTCTGTAAGATTAATAAAAGTGATGCAATGTTTGGAAAACCTACAAGTTGAAGAATAAGACGTGGACACTAGCAACACTGCGCCTTACTGAGCTGTCACACACATCTGTTGTTATTCTCAGAGGTAGAACCTTGACTTGTCTTAGCTTAGTGATGGCACCACAACAAACACTGCTATCTAACTTATGCAGTTGCAGAGTACTGCTTATGTAACATTATGAGAAAGTCACAGACCTGAGAGGTAGCAATGCTGCCATCAAGCTTATAGGGCGAGGGTGCCATGCTTTTGTGATTTAAAACATGATTTTATTAAAATTATAAGGGCGAGGGTGCCATCTTTGTGTTGACATGAGTATAAAAAGGCAGGGCCGCTTGGTTGCCATACTTTGTGTTGACATGAGTATTATAAGGGCGAGGGTGCCATACTTTGTGTTGACATGAGTATTATAAGGGCGAGGGTGCCATACTTTGTGTTGACACGAGCAACACTTTAGTCCCGCCCAGAGCTCAATACCTGTAACTAATCGATTACTTTCTATCACTTGGTCTAACCTACATCTCCCTCCCTCCCAAATCCTCCATCAACCCTCCATCCCTCCCTCCTAAATACTTCCATCCCATCCTCCTTCCTCCAAACTCATCCCTCTATCCTTCCTTCCTCTCCGTGCTTCCCTCCTCCCTCCCATATTCCTCCCCACACCTCTAACTTAATAACCACACCCCTACATTAATAACAACACCTCTACATTAATAGCCACACCCATACATTAATAACCACACCTCTACATTAATAACCACACCTCTACATTAATAACCACACCCATACATTAATAACCACACCTCTACATTAATAACCCACAAACCCCTACATTATAACCACACCCAAAACATTTAAAAACCACACCTCTACATTTAAAAACCCACACCCCTACATTTAAAAACAACACCTCTACATTAATAGCCACACCCATACATTAATAACCACACTCTACATTAATAACCACACCCCTAATTAATAACCACACCCATACATTAATAAACCACACCTCTACATTAATAACCACCCCTACATTAATAAACCACACCCCTACATTAATAACTACGCCCCTACATTAATAACCACACCCTCTACATTAAAAACCCACAAACCCCCACATTAATAACCACACCTCTAAAATTAATAACCACACCCCTACAATTTAAAAACCACAAACCCTACATTAAAACCACACCCCTACAATATAACTACACCCCTACATTAATAACCACCCACTAAAATTAATAAACCACACCCCTACTTAATAACCACACCCTTTCAGTAAAAAACCACACCCTACATTAAAACCACACCTCTACAATTTAAAAACCACACCCTTACATTAATAACCAACCTCTACATTAATAACCACACCCCTACATTAATAACCACACCTCTACATTAATAACCACAACCCTACATTAATAACCACACCCCTACATTAATAACCACAACCCTACATTAAACCACTATCCTACATTAATAACCACACCTGTACTTTAATAACCACACCCTACATTAATAACCACACCTGTACATTAATAACCACACCCCCACATTAATAACCACACCAGTACAATTTAAAAACCACCCTCTACATTAATAATTACACCTTACATTAATAACCACACCCCACATTAATAACCACACCTCTACATTAATAATTACACCTTTACATTAATAACCACACCCCTACATTAATAACCACACCTCTACATTAATAATTACACCTTTACATTAATAACCACACCCCTACATTAATAACCACACCTCTACATTAATAATTACACCTCTACATTAATAACCACACCCCTACATTAATAACCACACCTCAACATTAATAACCACACCCCTACATTAATTATTACACCTCTACATAATAACCACACCTCTACATTAATAAACACACCCCTTCATTAAGTAGCCACACCCCTACATTAATAACCACACCTCTACATTAATAACCACACCTGTACATTAATAACCACACCTCTACATTAATAACCACACCATTACATTAATAACCACACCCCTACATTAATAATTACACCTTTACATTAATAACCACACCTCTACATTAATAACCACACCCCTACATTAAGTAGCCACACGCCTACAATAATGACCATACCTCTACATTAATAACCACACCTCTACATTAAAACCACAAACCCCTACATTAATAACCACACCCCCACATTAATAATTACAACTTTAGATTAATAACCACACCTCTACACTAATAACCAAACCCCTACATTAATAACCACACCCCTACATTAATAACCACACCCCTACATTAAAACCTACATAAACACCCAACATTAATAACCACACTCTACATTAATAACCAACCTCAAAATTAATAACCACACCCCTACATTTTAAAAAACAACACCCCTACATTAATAAAATACGCCCCTACATTAATAACCCACACCTCTACATTAATAACCACAAACCCCCACATTAATAAACACACCTCTGCATTAATAACCACACCTCACACTAATAACCACACCACTACATTAATAACCACATTTCTACATTAATAACCACACCTCTACATTAATAACCACACCCCCTACATTTAAATAACCCACACCCCTACGTTAATAACCAGACCCTACATAAAAAACCAAAACCCCTTTCATTAATAACCACACCTCTACATTAATAACCACACACGTACATTAATAACCACACCTCTACATTAATAACCACACCCCTACATTAATAATCACACCCCTACATTAATAACCACACCCCTATATTAATAACCACACCCCTACATTTATAACCACACCCCTACGTTAATAACCACTTTTACATTAATAACCACATCTCTACATTAATAACCACACCCCTACATTAAAACCACAACCAACAATTAAAAACCACATCCTACATTAATAAAACCCCACCCCTACATTAATATCCGCACCCCTAAAATTAATTACCACACCCCTACATTAAAAAACACGACAACCCCTACATTAATTAACCACACCCCCCAACATTAATAACCACACCCCTATATTAATAACCACACCTCTACATTAATAATCACACTCCACATTAAAAACCACACTCCTACATTAATAACCAACTCCTACATTAATAACCCACCCCTGCATTAATAACCCACACCCTACATTAATAACCACACCTTTACATTAATAACCCACCACCTCTACATTAATAAACCACACCCCTAATTAATAACCACACCTCTACATTAATAACCACACCCCTACATAAATAACCACACCTCTACATTAATAACCACTTCCCTACATTAATAACCACACCGCTACATTAATAACCACACCTCTACATTAATAACCACACCTCTACATTAATAACCACACCCCTACATTATTACCCACACCTCTACATTAATAACCACACCTCTACATTAATAACCACACCCCTACATTAATAACCACACCTCTACATTAATAACCACACCCCTACATTAATAACTTCCCTACATAAATATCCACACCTCTACATTAATAACCACACCTCTACATTAATAACCACTCCCCTACATTAATAATCACACCCCTACATTAATAACCACACCTCTACATTAATAACCACACCCCTACATTAAATAACTTCCCTACATTTAAAAACCACACCCTACATTAAAACCCACACCTCTACATAATAACCACACCTCTACATTAATAACCACACCCCTACATTAATAACCACACCCTACATTAATAACCACACCTCTACATTAATACCACCCCCCCTACATTAATAACCACACCTCTACATTAATAACCACACCCCTACATTAATAACCACACCTCTACATTAATAACCACACCTCTACATTAATAACCACACCCCTACATTAATAACTTACCCTACATAAAAAACCCCACACCATCTACATTAAAAAACCACATCCTACATTAATAACCACACCCCTACATTAATAACCACACCTCTACATTAATAAAACCCCACCCCCCCTACCCTTAATAACCACACCTCTACATTAATAACCACACACCTACATTAAAACTTCCCTACATTAAACCACACCTCACATTAAAAACCACACCCCTACATTTTAAAAACCACACCCAAAATTAAAACCACACCCCTACATTAATAACTTCCCTGCATTAATAACCACACCTGTACATTAATAACCACACCCCCTACATTAATAACCACACCCCTACATTAATAACCACACCTCTACATTAATAACCACACCTCTACATTAATAACCACACCCCTACATTAATAACCACACCCCTACATTATTAACCATACCTCTACATTAATAACTTCCCTACATTAATAACCACACCTCTACATTAATAACCACACC